AGAAGATAATGCAAGAAAAAGATATTTGTTTGCTTCTACTGATAATGAAACATTTTCCCTAAAAGCTAGAAAAAAGCTTTAACTTGTGAGTTTCTCATGTAATGAGGAAGAGTTTCTAGATGGACATTTTATTCGAAGTCAAACATGGAAAAGGCCTCTGCTGTTCATTCCTGTGGGATCTAATTGCTTTGACTTGTTATATGAAACAATAAATCTCTCATTTTGGGATTTGTTTAATGTGTCATGGAGGAAAAATGTTTCTCACATGAGTCATCCTGTGCCTAGTCAACATACTTTTTGATTAAAACTTTTATCACTGTCAGGACTCAGCAGGTAGTGTTGTGCTTTTTCTGCCCCTGCTTTCTGCACAGGTGACTGGAGTTGACTGGTGGGCGTGGTACACACCTGAGGCTCGTTCTGTGGTTACCTGTCTGCGCTATAAAAGGAGCTCTCTGACAGCTGGAGGATGCCAGAGTGTTAACCTTGTGTGGTACGCCTCAGTTGGCCACTGTCTTTGACAGCCTGAACCTTTCCTGTTTTGATCACCTTTCTCCTGTGTCTCCTAGAACGCTCCCTCGACTCTAAACCTGCTCCGGGCGTTTCCCCAGTGCTCGCCTGGTGTCTCCAGCTGATCGCTGATCACTGCTCCCAACGGCGCAGCTTGGATCCTGCACGAGTTTCCCCGGCCCGCTCATCGGTCACCCAGTCACCGGATCACCTCACCCAGGCAGCGCTGAGTCCGCTCCTCCACACCACCTCCCCAGTGCACTTTCTGAGCTCAGTGGTAAGCCTTACGCACCTCTTTACGCGCGGCCCGTCCGCGGCGCGCTGTCTAATTCATCTCTCCCTTTTCAGCTCGTGCAAACCCCGGTCCCGTGACTCTGCCTGACGCTGACTCATTGTTTAGTTTTCTCGTTTCTCTGAATTTATTTCTGAGCTTTAATAAAACCCTGAATCTGCTTCCTGTCTCCCGAGTGTTGTCTGCATGTGGGCCAAACACGTGAAAAACATGACAGAAGAACACTCTGGCCAGTCTGACCCAGCAGACACACTCGGGAGAACGCTCTCTGCCCATCAGGAGCAGCTTCAGGCTCTCCAACTAGCCATGCAAACTGCGCAGAATCAGCTGCAGGGGCTTACAGCCCAGATCAGTCAGCTGTCTGACACGTTCTGCGCTGCGTTCCAGACCTCAGCCTCCGCTCCCCCGAGCGCAGCGAGCGCAGCCCCAGAGCCCACACAGATTGAGCCGCTGCCGTCAATCCCTGAGACCTCCTCCCCTAGCCCTGAGAAGTTTTCTGGGGACAGCGGGGACTGTGGAGGATTTTTATTTCAGTGCTCCTTAGTTTTCAATCGTTCCCCGCGAACGTACCCCAATGATGAGGCAAAGATCTCTTTCATCCTGCGCCTATTAACAGGGCGAGCATTAAGATGGGCTGAGTCCCGCTTTCCCGACTGCCGACGTTTCCGCTGCACTTTTGATGAGTTCCTGCAGGAATTTAAAATGATCTTTTCGGCCGAGACCGATCCGGTACAGCAGACCCGACGCCTTTTGACTCTCAGGCAGCGCGGCAGGCGCGTCTCTGATTTTGCAATCGAGTTCCGCACGCTGGCAGCCGCCGCGGGCTGGGAACCACACGCTCTAAAATCTGTGTTCTACCAGGCTTTGGATGAACCTCTCAAGGATGAGCTATCCCGCCTTGAGGAACCGACCTCCCTGAACGATCTGATCGCGCTGGCCATCCGTTTAGACAACCGGTTGAGGGTTAGGGGAAGGGGTCGAATGGAGAGACAGTCCTTTCTTCGGCCGCTCCCTCCTTCCCCAGAGCGAACCCATCTCCGACCCGTTGCTGCTCCTCCTTCTTCCCCGGAACCCATGCAGGTGGGCCGGGTACGCCTTACTCCAGAGGAGAGGCAGCAACGTATAGATGCAAGGTTATGCATATACTGCGCGTCTCCTGAGCATTTTATTAATACCTGCCCAGAACGGCCAAAAGACCGGGTCCGTCGGCTGTAACGAGGAGGCCGGCGGACCACGCTGAGGACTCGTTCCCCACATCTCCTCGTCTCTGTTTGCAAGCAACCATTCTGACGGCCCATAAGAACTTTAACCTTTCCGCCCTGGTGGATTCAGGGTGCGACTTTAATTTGATCGACCAAGCCCTAGTTCTTCAGGCTGCGGTCGAGACTGTTCCGTTACCCACTCCCCTCCAGGTTTCTGCCCTGGACGGAGGAAGTCTTCCCCGTATCACTCATCGAACCAAACCCCTGGAGGTCGTAATTTCAGGTAACCATAGGGAGTTAACCTCCTTTCTCGTTTTTCCTGTTAAACACGCCCCGCTCGTCTTGGGTTATGCCTGGTTACAACAACACAACCCACACATTAACTGGGCTGACCAACGCGTCGAGTCCTGGTCCCCAACCTGCCTGTCTCGCTGTATGCAATCCGCCGTTCCCATTTGTCCTACTTCTGTACGGACTTCCTCTGATGTGGACCCCGTTAATTTAAGTTTGGTCCCTGAACAATACCATGACCTACAGCTGGTTTTTAGTAAAGCCCAGGCTGAGTCATTACCCCCACATCGACCGTATGATTGCGCAATCGATCTCCTGCCGGGCGCGCCTCTGCCAACTAGCCGCCTTTATAACATCTCTCGGGCCGAACGACAGGCACTAGAAAAATATATAAAAGAGTCCCTGGCATCCGGCCTGATCCGTCCTTCCTCCTCTCCACTCGGAGCTGGCTTTTTCTTTGTGGGGAAGAAGGACGACTCCCTCCGCCCATGCATTGATTATCGCGGGTTAAACTCGATTACTGTTAAGAATAAGTATCCCCTACCACTTCTTTCCTCTGCTCTTGAACCGGTCCAATCCGCCACTATCTTCACCAAATTAGACCTGCGCAATGCTTACCACTTAGTTCGGATTCGTCGGGGGGATGAGTGGAAAACGGCATTCAAGACCCCGCTTGGTCATTTTGAATACCTGGTTATGCCCTTCGGCCTGTGCAACGCCCCGTCAGTCTTCCAGGCCCTTGTAAATGACGTCCTTCGAGACTTTCTGAACCTATTCGTGTTTGTCTACTTGGATGACATCCTTATCTATTCTCAAAACCTCTCTGAGCACCAACAACATGTGCGGCTGGTTCTCCAGCGGCTCCTGGAGAACCGCTTGTTTGTTAAGGCTGAAAAGTGTGAGTTCCACAAGTCCTCAGTTACTTTCCTTGGGCTCATTCTGGAGGGAGGTAGGGTCCGATCTGACCCAGAAAAGATCAAGGCGGTCCTCGATTGGCCGGTACCAGAGTCACGGAAGCAACTCCAACGCTTCCTTGGCTTCGCCAACTTTTACCGACGCTTCGTCAGAGGCTATAGTCAGATCGCTGCTCCCCTCCATGCTCTCACGTCGCCAAAAACCCCTTTCGTCTGGAACCCTGAAGCCGGCTCTGCGTTCGCCGCATTGAAGGAAAGGTTTTCCCAAGCTCCCATCCTCATTCACCCTGACCCTGAAAAACAATTCACAGTTGAGATAGATGCCTCTGACACAGGTGTGGGCGCGGTCCTTTCCCAGTGCTCGGACCGTGATCAGAAGCTCCATCCTTGCGCCTTCTTCTCCCGACGTCTGACCCCCTCAGAGCAAAACTATGATGTAGGAGACAGAGAGCTCCTGGCCATTAAACTGGCCCTGGAGGAGTGGCGTCACTGGCTTGAGGGGTCCGAACAACCCGTCATCATTTGGACCGATCATAAAAATCTTGCTTACCTCCAAACCGCCAAGCGTCTCAACCCCAGGCAAGCCCGCTGGTCCCTTTTCTTCTCTCGGTTTAACCTGTCCATTTCCTACCGTCCAGGCTCCAAGAACCTGAAACCTGACGCCCTCTCCCGTCTATATGCACCCCAGGACTCTGTTAGAGAGCCAGCTCCCATCCTGCCACCCACCTGCTCCTTTGGTGCCCTCCACTGGGAGATTGAGGATCTGATCAGACAAGCTCAGCACTCAGACCCTGACCCGGGTAACGGTCCTCCTGACCGAACCTGTTCCCCTCTCTGTTCGCCCCCGTGTAATTCAGTGGGCCCATTCAGTTAAATTCTCTGCCCATCCAGGCATTAACCGGACCCTCTCTTTCATCTCCCGGCACTTCTGGTGGCCTTCTATGCCTAAAGATGTCCGGGAGTATGTCCTCTCCTGCCCAGTCTGTGCTCAGAATAAGACCTCAAATAAACCCCCAGCGGGCCTTCTTCAGCCACTGCCTGTACCTGAACGCCCTTGGTCCCACATTGCTTTAGATTTCGTCACTGGCCTCCCAGTGTCTCAGGGCATGTCAACCATACTCACGATCATAGACAGATTCTCCAAAGCCTGCCATCTTATAGCCCTCCGTAAGCTCCCATCGGCCCTCCAGACTGCCCAGCTCCTGGTGAGGCATGTCTTTCGCCTCCATGGCATCCCACAGGACATTCTGTCTGACCGTGGTCCCCAATTCATTTCTCGAGTGTGGAAAGAGTTTGCCACAGCCCTAGGGGCCAGGTATTCCCTTTCCTCCGGGTACCACCCGCAGACCAATGGGCAGACAGAAAGGCTTAACCAGGAGCTGGAGTCTGCTCTCCGCTGCCTGACTTCCACCAACCCAGCGGACTGGAGCAAGTACCTCCCCTGGGTCGAGTATGCCCATAACTGCCACACTTCCACTGCCACCGGGTTCTCCCCCTTTGAAGTCTCCCTGGGCTATCAACCTCCGCTCTTTCCCGCAGACGTTAGACAGATCGCCGTTCCCTCTGTCCACCATCACATCCACCGCTGCAAGCAGATCTGGTTGCAGACCATCCAGGCCCTCCACAGAACTGCTGACCAGAACCGCAAATTTGCTGACCGGAGGCGAACCCCTGCCCCTCATTACCGCCCCGGTCAGAGAGTCTGGCTCTCCACCCGGGACATCCCCTCCGGGTCCACCCACCGCAAACTGGCCCCCCGCTACACCGGTCCCTATGAGATCCAGGCATCGTCAGTCCCTCAGCTGTCCGTCTCCGCCTCCCTCCTCACTCGAGGGTCCACCCTACTTTCCATGTCTCCCGCATCAAACCCGTGCTTTCCAGCACATTGTGCCCCTCAGCCGAGCCCCCTCCTCCCGCCCAGGACTTCCAAGGGCGCCGGATCCAGAGGATTGTGGATTCCCGTCGGCGGGGAAGAGGCTGGCAGTACCTCGTCGACTGGGAGGGCTGCAGTCCCGAGGAGCGGTCATGGGTATCCGGCTCCTCCATCCCTGATCCTGCTCTTCTTGATTCCTTCCTGGCCTCTCGTCCCTCCACATCTTCCTCGCTGTCGCCAGGTGGCGACCGTTGAGGGGGGGGTGGTGTCAGGACTCAGCAGGTAGTGTTGTGCTTTTTCTGCCCCTGCTTTCTGCACAGGTGACTGGAGTTGACTGGTGGGCGTGGTACACACCTGAGGCTCGTTCTGTGGTTACCTGTCTGCGCTATAAAAGGAGCTCTCTGACAGCTGGAGGATGCCAGAGTGTTAACCTTGTGTGGTACGCCTCAGTTGGCCACTGTCTTTGACAGCCTGAACCTTTCCTGTTTTGATCACCTTTCTCCTGTGTCTCCTAGAACGCTCCCTCGACTCTAAACCTGCTCCGGGCGTTTCCCCAGTGCTCGCCTGGTGTCTCCAGCTGATCGCTGATCACTGCTCCCAACGGCGCAGCTTGGATCCTGCACGAGTTTCCCCGGCCCGCTCATCGGTCACCCAGTCACCGGATCACCTCACCCAGGCAGCGCTGAGTCCGCTCCTCCACACCACCTCCCCAGTGCGCTTTCTGAGCTCAGTGGTAAGCCTTACGCACCTCTTTACGCGCGGCCCGTCCGCGGCGCGCTGTCTAATTCATCTCTCCCTTTTCAGCTCGTGCAAACCCCGGTCCCGTGACTCTGCCTGACGCTGACTCATTGTTTAGTTTTCTCGTTTCTCTGAATTTATTTCTGAGCTTTAATAAAACCCTGAATCTGCTTCCTGTCTCCCGAGTGTTGTCTGCATGTGGGCCAAACACGTGAAAAACATGACAATCACAAATAGTACAGGAGAAAGGCTTCTCACCTGTGTGAGTTCTTATGTGTTTATAAAGATCAGACCTAAAGCTGAAGCTTCTTTCACAGGACAGACATCTACGTAAGTGTTGTAAAAACACCAACGTAAAACAATACGATATAGAGGCAGCCAGGCAGTTCTTCAAGAATGAAAACATGAAAGCTGAGCGGTGTGTCAGCGTTCACTGCCAGTCTAGGTGGCATGCGGGCAATGAAACGGAACAGATGAAAACCCCATCACATATTTCTGCAAAATATTCAAACATAAATTTGCCACATATAAGAGGAACATCGTTTAAAGAAACCATTTTAGTTTTAATACAATTTAGCTTGTTGCAAGGATTTTACAGTTTGAAGAAATAGAAAATTACAACATATGCCAAGGATGTGAATGACAAGGAAGGGCTATATATACTGCATGCATCATTTAGGCAGTTAACATTGAATTACTTCTTGAGCTCCTTGAGTTATTTACTGTCACAGGTAGGAGCTTCGACCGGAGAGTAAGTGTTGGGGCCGGTATGAATAAGG